TGTTTTACCTGCTCTGTACGATGGCTTGCTCCACGCATGTAATCTTCTCCGTAGGCGGCGTCCCGGCAGAGTTTTGGCTCATGACAGACAGGAACTGTAGCAGTAGTTTGGTGCTCTCTGTTTTCCCAGCTCCACTTTCACCACTGGTAAACACACATGCACACATTCATTTGTGACCTTCACTGACATTTGTGTTACCCTGATTGAATTTGCAATGCTGTGAAATCTGATAGCAGTTTGTGGGTCTAAGCCACAACTACTCAAACTCAGCCTTTAGGTTTAACACAAATGAGATTAGTAAATTAAGATAATAAAGGATCCCCATCAGTCAGTGAGTAAAGCCAAAAGCGAAAGATAAATTCTTTGTATGGTCATACTCATTCCAGTCAATGAATGAATCAAGACTTTTAGCACTTTATGAGCACATTTTACTGAAAATCTCCTATTTACTATTTTCATGTTCGGCAAGTTTTATTTAGATTTTATTTAGTTATTTAGATCAAATAAAGTGGTTGGAGGTCTTATATTACCTTATTAGCACACATTGGCTATCATGTCTCTTCCATAAGCAGCGGTAGCACTCATTGGCAATAGCAAAGATATGTGGCGGCAGCTCGCCCAAATGATGCTGGCTGTACAGCTCCACTGCGGAGAGATCATACAGTCCTTTGATCTGCTTATAAGGATTCACGGCCGCCAGGATAGAACCTATGTTAGTCTGAGAGACAGAGAAAAAATGGCAGTAAATCAAGGAGCATTGAGTATAATAAAGCCACCAAACAGTAAAACAATAAAACCAGCTGAAACCATAACTGAAACAAATGCACACACATTTGTGATCAGTGCATATTTTAATTTATAGCCACAGATAAAGAGACATTTCAAGGGAACTTTAATAATCAGTATGTGATTGGTCTTATTTCACAACTGGTTGCGTCAGTGGGTCGTGAGAGGATTGTGGATGATGTGTGTCCTTGTCTATGAGCACTGTGACAACATAAATCCATCTCATTTAATATTGACTGAATGGTCTTATTAATGTTTTTATGTGTGGGTGTGTGATTGTAATTTTCATATACTGTGGCTAACAACACCCATGCTGACTGGCAGTAATATGATTTACTGATCTTAGCTACAGCAGTGATGAGATTAAATTGAGACATTACTGGATTCCTGGAAAGGCACCAAACACATCTAGACCCAACATTATGGACACTACACAAATAAAAAAAAAATTAAAAAAAATCATATCATATCAAATCAGTATATTATCTGTGGATCTGAAATTGTGTCAATGTTATCCTTACAAAAAATATTTTTTTGCTCCTGCCCCAAGAGGGCGCTTGAGAGAAGAGTCATCATTCTCATTCAGGTTGACAATGTCCTGGTGTCTCAGATAAATCAGATAACTGCTGCTATGAGGCATCAACCTCAGATGCTAGCAATGCAATGCATTCTGGGAAAGGTGAATTACAGTATCCATTTACCAAGATGGGATAAGAGAGACTCGTCACATTCACTCCACTGGGCACAACATGACACAAATCTGCAGTCTAAAACAAGATCAACAATACAGCTGCAAAAAGAAGCCCCAGATGCTGTTTTATTTTTTGTTTAAATGACAGGGGAAATTATATAGCTTATTTTCAGGCACTGATGGTGAAATGTTATTTAGCTCTTCTAATAAAAAGCATTACACTGACCTTCGCTAATCGTAGAAACATCCATCCATAATTTCCTGTATAGCATATGAGAACTAGACTGATTCATTATACCGTGTCTCATAAAGCTTGCCATTTCATTACCAGCACAAATATACCAAGATAACAACCATATTATCTCACTTGTTCGAGCAGATTATTGGACTATACTCTGAAATAGGTTTAGATTTCATGACATGTTTTGGGTGTAGATGACTGTCGGGTGTTTTTCTTCACAACTGTTGCTACCAATTACCTCTGACACAGGGACTGAGGCTTTATAAATAGTCCCAGTGCCTGTAAAAACGCCACTTATTCATGGTAAAATACTTAAACAATACCAAACAATTTGATAAATTGTAGTAGTCTGGGCAATATGCAATATAAAAATTTAACTTTATTAGTAAAGAATTCAACTGATGTGTGGTTAGTTGCGGTTACTGGTAGGTTTTTTATTTTATAATGACTTTTTTTATTTTTGAAGATGGCTCATCTAATCATAATTTAGTGCCAAAACTATACATTTCATAATGTGTGAAAAACAATATTTAATTTTGTATGATACATGATATTGTATTGGCTACTGAATCACAGGCACTAGGGCTGTATGCAATAAGAGATTCAAATATGGCCGTGTCAGAATGCAGGCCAAATTAAGAGACATAAATAAAATTTAATAAATACATTTTTCAAATTTTATGTTCTACAGAAGAAAGAAAGTTAATACAGATTTGGAACGACATGAGGGTGAGTAAACGATGACAGCATTTTCATTTTGGGGTGGACTATCCCTATAAAATCTCTAATTCCAGCTAGCACTGAATACTAAATAAAATAATTATATAACATAGCACTTTATCACTAGGTCTGGGTTAGTTAAGACCTGCCTGATGGAAGATTAAAAAGAATCTGAAGCTGTGCAATCATGCTGAAAACCTCCAGTATACTTGTCTCTGTCCCAGTCAATCCTTACAAAGAATGATTTACTGGCTTTATGGTCTCTTTCTATAGATTTTGCAAAGGTCAAGCTGAAATGTTTGGATCATGCAGACAGTGAGTCATACCAGTCCCTCCAGGCTACAACTCTAAACAAGCAGTCTGGGATGTATGGCTCTGTTTAGACCAATGAGGTTCCAGCCTGCACTCACCACCTGATCACGTGACCCTTCTCTTTGTCAACATCATCGGTTAGACCCTATAGTGGCACACATTTATTTAAACATGTCCAGAGGGCATATTCTTTGATTTCTCTCTGTCTCACACACACACGGATGCTGTTACAGTGTGTGAAATATACAGTACATACTGTATGAATGATAAAAGTGAGTTGAATTGCCCATATAAGAGCATTATTGCAAGTTTAATTTAAAAACAGATGGTTAATAGTCGGATTCTGGATTTTGCAATTCACTTGTACAATAAAACCCAGTGCTAAATTCTACTCCCTAATTATAAAAAGTATGTCTATTGAGCACTAGCAGAGCACAGTTTTAATCTTCTGTTGCTATTTAGGCTGATAAACTCACTTTAAACAATGGAAATAAAAGCAGACGCTGAAACATTTACACATTTGGGCTATCATTTACACAACATATTTTCATATCAGTTTTGTCTGAAAACCCAGTTTGGGATGTATTATGTTTCGGATGTTTTTCTTAAAGAAGGAAAATTCCTTAATCAAACAGGGTTTCCTTTCAGTCTCAAGCCGAGATGTTTTGAGTTAATATCACTCTGCTAAACTAAGGAAGGAAACTCCGGTTCCTCTCTCAGCCAGTCAGATTGCTGTCCACCCTCAAACTCAGTATACAAAACAACACAGGATTAATTACACAGGAAATAGGAGTGAACCCTTACGCATTAACTGCCATCCTGACCTACTTTTTCACAAAGTACTGGCAGAAAATTTGGAAATGGAGAAAATTTGGAAATCTCAATTTATATATATTACGGATATTGACATTAATGATTGTACCACTTGATGTAGAATGCCTAGATGCTTATTTGTTCATTTTTCATTACTTATATTGGTCAGTACAGTATTCATGGGCTTCAGGCACGTGACTTTTTTTTTGTGGCCGCCATCTTTAGGACCTTTGCGTAGCCTCTTTCTGGTGATCGTAAGCCAAAATAGCACACTTCACCACCAATGAAAAACAATGGTATTTAATGAAAACAGATACTTTAGGATTAAATCCTTATTTACTGTCAAACGCGAACTGCTGACTCCACTAAAATCTAGTAAAAACATGTCAAATTTGACGTTTGCTGATATTTACAGCTACCTCATCCACAATCCCTCTCCATACACCGGTGACCCAGATAGCAAAATACACTCGGGCCAGTTTCAGTTAAATTCTCATCTGCCGGAGACTTACCCTCGGCTCGGCCCGGCTCCATCTGCCGCACTCGGCCTGGATGCCTGTGTACTCGCTGCCTGATTCCGGGCCGAATCAATCTGGCCATGCGACATCCGTTAACTTGCTGACACTGCAGCATCCAAGCTGGAATCGGCCCATCGCTAATGTACACAGCGCGTGAAACGTGGCCCAGTTTCATTTCTATATCTAATGTACTGTTCATTAATATTTCATTAAAAATGTAATCCATAGCCGAATCGCTTACTTTCATTTCAATTATATAGATTATAATGCATAAATAACATGACTTAACAAATCTGTAAACATCTCATTATTATGAATGCAATTTTAAAGTCCATTAAATAACTCGCTTGATCAAGCTGGCATGAGGAAAATTTATTTACACAACAATTTATTTACAAAACCAAACAATTACAGCAAAAAAACAGCAGTTATACAATAAGTGTAGATAAAATATTTAACACATTTTGCAAAATTATTCATGCATTTACTTATGCTTGGGTTGTGCAATTTAACAAGTAAAGGTTAAAACATTAAAACTTAAAAATTGTTTTGAACAGCACATTGGTAAATGGCAAAGTTTTGGAATTAAATACATTTTGTACTTGGCAAAATAATTAAAATCATTACCTAACTATTACTATGGATAATTTTTGAGTGAATCAGTGGCTACTGTTCCTTGGTTGTTGCTCACTTTCCAAATCTTTTATCAGGAGTTGTGGTCATTGTGTAACATCTTTCCACATCTTAATCTTTGCTTGGGAGCTTTCATTTCTGCACCTGTAAAGAGCAAATAACATAAAAGTATCTATTACTAAAGGTCTATCTTAATGCACCAAACTGAATGAAATTAAATATATATATTGTAATTGTAGTAATTTACATGTTGTTTGACAAACTATCTACAATGATAGCCCATTAAAGTAGCTGTGCCCCGCAAGATTAATATTTAAGTTGTGTATCATCCTTTGTGGCATGTTAAGAGAAACAATCAGTTATTCCTGTGTTTCTCTACATGCTGAGTGAAGAAGCAACTAAAGTAGCAACAGAAGTGATAAACTGTGATTCTGTGTTGTAGTCAGTTACATGTGTTTTAGCAGAGGTGAGCACCTGTACAAGTCTGCTTACATTTAGCAACTGTAAAAGCAGGACAGAGCTATTGCAGATAGTCTCAGACATACTGATTGCAGTGCATTCACATCATAAAAATCACTGAAACTAGCTTATGTATTTAGTTAACTGAGGTTATTTGAAAACAACAATCTTCTATAGCATTATAATACTAATGGTACAAACAAATCCTCTTCACTCTAACTTCCTTGAAGTAATATGAAATAAAATCAGGTTTTGCTTATTAGGATTACATTCATAAAAATAAGAATGTGGAAACTAAAAATACAAACCTTTCTCCTCATATATGCTGGACCGTCATCCTCCTCCTCTTCTTTATCATCTGTTTGTTTGTGGATCGGAGTGTTACTCATCAAAGTTTAGTGCAGTGTAAACACTCTAGATTCACATTACTGTCCTTAGATCAAAGATCAAAAACATCTCATTCATGTATTAGCTTTAGGTGGTAAGCACAACGAAAGTTTTCGGCCAAACTCGACTCAAACTAACAGTGCCCACATTAGAACCACAGCTCAATGTGTTGGAGCATGTGTGCGAAACACAAGGCTACAGCTCTGACTAATCCATTTTTTTAATCATCCATTGTCTGTAGACCGGTCGTATTGCAATACAATGAAATTATGAAATGCATATAATATACATGAGATGCATGTAAGAGATGTATAGCATTCAATGTTATTATAGTTTTGCATTTTCACATATTTTTTTTATTTCAATAATAATTTCAAATATATTTAACATAACATAGTTTTGTTTTAGTTAGTTTCAGAAATGATTTTTTTTTTTAACTCAAGCCCGCCCGCCGCGCCGTTCTCTAGCCCGCCCGTCGTGTGTGACGCTGTGTGTTTCGTTGTGAAAGCGAAACTACTTTGTTTGGTCTTCCAAAAGAGGACACAACTAGAAATCAGTGGTTAAGTTGTATTTACAACACTGTTCCAGAACAGTTCAACCCAAATATTCAGATGTGTGCAGCACATTTTATGGAGGACTGTTTCCTAATCCTGGTAGAGTAGACTACAATGCCAGCTGTTCTGACTCACAGCCTGTAAGTACATTTTTTATATTTCAGTTTTAGCTTTAGTAATAGTTAAGGAATCAGTTGAGGAATCAAAAGAACATTGTTTAGATTTGCATCTCAAATAATCTTGTCAAGGCTAGACATGATGACTCTGTGATTTATTTGTGCAACAAATCTGTGGTGAAATCAAAAGTTTAGTTGCTCTAGTGACTCATTGGTTGGAAGAGGTCCTGAGTTATTTTATTTATATTAAGTTTAAATTAGTTTGATAAACTTGACCTCTGTTGTATAACACTGTTCAAATTCAAAAGGATCATTCACTTTTGGCTTCTAGTGAGGAGACTTGATGAGTAGACTAGGGATGCTCATATTGACAGTTTAACCGTTTACTGACAGTAAGAATTTTAACCTATTAATACTATCAGTTAAACGGTTTAAAAAGTGTTTTTTCCCAAATATTTTTTTTAAGTTTGCTGCATTGTTAAAGGGGTCATATGATGCTATTTTAAAGATCATTATTTTGTGTATTTGGTGTAACAGATTATGTTGACATGCTTTAATGTTCAAAAAACACATTATTTTTCAAATACTTTCAATTATTTTTCAAATACATTATTATAGGCCTCTCTCAAACACGTCGTTTTCAACAAAGCCCCCTCCTTTGACAAGTGCAGTCTGCTCTGATTGGCCAGCTGACCCAGTGCATTGTGATTGGCCGAACACCACAAGCATGCGTCGGAAATATAACGCCCCTTACCATAATCATTTCCACTTTCAAAGTAAATATCAAGACAGTTAATAATGTTGTTAGTTTTACCATCAGTTCAAGCTCAAAAGGGCAACAGAGTCAGTGATGATGACACAGTGATGATGCAGTACACAGGTCGCGGTTACATAGCTGACATGCTATGATTTCTGACAGGCAGTTCACTCTCCTGTGATGTGACCCTGTTCCCCTCACACACACACACGACGCGTTACTCTGCGCTGCGCAAAACTCCGCATTTGAACAGTCAATAGCAAATACTTAAACTAATAACAAAACATACTTACAGTCGCTGATTCAGAA